TTGCTATATATCCCAGGCTTGCTATGTATCCCAGAGTGACCTCGAACTTCTGATCCTTCTGTCTCCATGCTAGACAAGCACCTTACTACTGAGCTGCAACCTTAGCTTCCTTGAACAGCAAGACTGAAACCAGAGCTGCCACAGGGTGGACAAGCCCTATATGACACTCTAGGCTTTCTGACTGACAGGCTATTTCCCTCTTTCTGGTGTCTATACCAGAACTGTAAGCAGTAGCATCTTTGGCAGCACACAAGTGGCCCACACTGGTTTTCAGAACATCCAACTAAGGACAAAGGAAGGAGGATTATGGTTTAAACCTTATAGCTGGGGTCCTAGGTAAACCCACCTCCACCCTGTTATTCATTGATCCTGTAGCAAATCACCTAACCATTCACCCAGTGAGGAAAATCCTGGAGTTGAGAAATACATGGAGGAGGTGTCAATCAAGCTCTCTGCAAGGTCACAAACCCAACCCTGGCTTTTGTTCATGCAGGTTGGAGACGGACACATGTCAGGATATGGGGCCAGCTCTGACCCTGCCCTGGAATTGAGATTTACAGCACACTCGTGTCACGTCGTATGGTGCAGATAAGCCAAGAAACAACATGGGACTCTGTGGCTCTTCTCGGCAGTTTTGTGCCGTAAATTCTGCCAAATGTGCAGACAAGCATAAGCACACGTCAGCTGACTTGCAGTTAGAACTTACAACTGTATTTCTTTATTGTTTCTCTCTGTCAAACAAGGGAGAAGACCACATCTTTTTTTTTTTAAAAAAAAAAAAAAGGAAAAAGAAATGTTTCTGGGAAACTAGAAAGAGAGCTCTTTTGATAATGTGTTTGACACATGAGCAAAGTGTCTGAACTCAGTTCCTAGAATCCGTGTTTTAAAAAGCAGAGCATTGTGGCACACAATTGTGATCTCTGTCAGTCCAGGGGAGGCAGAGACAGGCAGATCCCAGGAGCTCACTGGGCAGCTTGCCTTGTCTAACCAGTAAGTAAACTCCAGACCAATGAGAAACACTGTCTCAGCAAACAAGGCAGACAGCCTCTGAGAAACAACAACAAAGGTTTGGCTCTAACCTGCATGCACACACACACACACACACACACACACACACACACACAAGCATGCACTCACGCATGCCTTTTCCAGATGTTGTAACCTGAAATATATTCCAGCTGATATGCGTGTGGGTGGCTGCAAAACAGAATGTGCAAGCAAAGCACAAACGAAACAGTTTACAGCAGAAATCAATAACAGTCTCCGGGAAGGCAATGGTGACATCTGGATATGATTAGTAAGCTCCTTCATCTTCACAACGGCTCTCTAAGGTTGAAGAACAGCTGTCCCTATCTTACAATAGGGGAAACTGAGGCTCTCAGATACTTCACCATCCATCCACCCATATCACCACCTAAATTAAATGGCAGCCCCAGAAATTTAAGCCTAGCTCCTGTTGTCTGAAGTGGGCTCTTGAGTTCTGCATCCCCCTGCTTTTCTAAACCCAGTCCTCATGTTCTCTTTCTCTTCCTCTCTGCCTTGGGGAAAGGTGCCAAGGGGCCTAGATGCCCCTAGACTGTGACCGTGTATTTCTACAATAAGCCAAGGCGTCCAAAGTGCCACATTCCTTCACTTCTCCCAAGCCTCTAGAAGTCAACATTTCCTTGATTCCGTTCGTGGTTTTGTATTGCCTCGGTATTGGGTGGCATGATTCTACTCTCGTTTATTAGATACAACCAGCTCTTTGAGAGCAACCCTAATTGCCTTTCAGATCAAATCCACACCGCACCCCTGCCATCTCCCTTACAAAAGCTTTGCTCACTTCATTTTCACCCACTTCCCATGTCTTCTCCAATTCCACACTCCTAGCCTTCCCTTCCCCAGAGCCTGACCTGGGCTGTATGAGATGATGCCTCAAGACATCATATTATATATTTATACTATTATATCATTATATAAAGCACATACCATATATCATACATCATATAATGTCACGTCATATGGAGCAGTGGAAATGACTACAGTGGCAACTTTGAGGTTGACTGAGGTAGAGGAGCAGCCTGACCCATCATTACACCTCTGCTGATTTCCCTGTGAGACATCAGGGCTGAAATCAGTCTTAGTGGGGGTTCTCGAAGATCTTCAACCATCCCATCCCTCTGGGTGAATGCTCTTCTAACGCCAACTGGCAGCCTTAATAAGCTCTTTGTGGGCACACTGGCTCTTCATCCAACACATCAAAGCCCAAATGTGCCTAATTGAAAGGCCTGTCTTGAGATCTCATCTGGCTGTTAGTGGTCTGACTACATATCATCCTGTGAATAGTCAGATGCTTCCTGTTCCACAGAATCCAACTTCTTCCCTCAGCCAGCATCAACACCTGTTCTACCACTGGAATAGCCATAGTAGTGAGGACTTAAATGCTCCTAAGCTACAGAAGGGTTCCATTACTAATAGACTACATGGTGACGCATCTGAGAGCCTCAGTTTCCCCTATTGTAAGATAGGGACAGCTGGTCTTCCACCTTAAAGGGTTGCTGTGAAGATGAAGGAGCAGATTAAAACGAGGCGGTGCATTGTCACATCCTGGTGACCGAGAATGTTCATTATATAGCTGGAGAAAAACATAGTAAGTATAGTCTCATTTTATTTGCAAGCTACATAGGAATGTGTAAATGGATGTTCATGTAGACATTTACACAAGCATAAAAACGTGTCCAAGAAAATAACCAAGAAAAATTAACAGTGGGTACTCCAGGAATTTGGCATGGACGTGTCTGTGGCAGGGGCAGGGGGCTCGTTTTCCTTCTTATCTTTTGAATGGCTTGGTGTTTTTATCAATGGGTGCAACGCCTTACTTAAGGAATCTGGGATGACATTTTCAAAGCTGGTGCCATGACTACCTTGTCTATTAGTACACGTTGTCTTCTGTGCCAAAATTAGCACTTTCCACCTAACCCCACTACCATTATCTGAGAGGTGAGTTAAAAAGTGAGATATCAAGAGGTTGATTTGGGGTTGTGACAAGTACTGGTGCATTTTTAAAATAATGTAAGAAATGGCAACAGTTGTTTCTCACAAAGGCCCCAGGTTCTGCGAGAATTATATCCTTGAGCTGTAAATTTAATTTGAAGTGAGACTTTACCTGGGTGTGCTGGCTGAAAGACGCCTTAGGGATAAGAAAAAAACAGCAAAGAAGTCATCACCTCTAACATACCTGTTCCTAGCTTTCTCTAGCAAGGCCCAGCCCTACGTGGCATCTAAAAGTAAGTGTCACCAGTTGTTTGACACTTGAGGATTCTCTCCACCAAGGTTCACAGTAGAACCAGAGATTTTCAGAAATAAATAACACAGATAACAGCATAGATAACACAGGTCACACTGCTGGAGGAGAATTTAAAAATCCATTTCAAAGGATTATATGTTCAAGTTAGCTACAAACTTCACATAGCAGTTCTGCATTGCTTATACTAAATGTTAAAAAGTATGATAACTGTTAAGAAAATACACAGATAACCTGAAAATCCATGTTCCATTCAGTTCTGTGATAATCACTTGGATCCCAAAAAAGTGCTCAGGCCAAAACAAAGTACAAAAGTATTGTGTAGCATAAAAAAAATTAAGAGGTTCTGAGACTCCATATTCCTTCATTTGCTACTACCTACAGTACAAACTATACATGAGCATTAAAATAACACACCATGCTAGATGTGATGCTTTATGCCATTAAGCCCACTAAAGGAACACAGGAAGGCAGATCTCTAGTTGAAGGGCAGCCTGGTCTACTCACAATGAGTTCCAGGACAGTACTAACTACAAAGAAAAACCCTGACTCTAACCCTACCACTAACCATATCCCTCTAACCCTAAACCTAACCCTACACCAAACCCTAACCTAACCCTTAAGCTTTAACCCTAATCCTATAACCCGAACTCTTAACCCAAACCCTCTAACCCTAAACTCCTAACTCGAAACCTCTAATTTTAACCCCAACCCTAAACTTAAACCTAACCCTAACCCTACCCTAACCCTAATTCTAACCCCTAACCCCTAGCCCTAGCCCTAGCCCTAACCCTAACCCTACCCCCTAACTCTAACCCAGGAGGAGGTACATAGGGAGACCTTGTCTCAATAAATAAATAGATAAATAAATAAATAAATAAATAAAATAATTCATCATCATCATCACCACCACCATCATCTATCACAAGGGAACTTATTGGGAAAGCCCTTCTTATTGCTCCCAAAGGAGGGTCTGCATAACAAAGTCTCCCAAATGGTTCAGGGGAAGGAGATCGGACCCTTGGCTTTATCAAAAGCAACCTACTACTTCTGACCTGTCTTTGAGCTCTTCAATAATTGGGCAAGATCTGCTCCTAGCATTAATGCAAATAGGGAGAGATTTTAATGCTCAGGAGGTGAGTCTACAGCTGGCCCCAGAAAGAGGGAGTACTGTGTGGACCGCCTACATCTCTGGGCATCGGCTTCCTCCCAGACTGACAAGTGACAGGATACTCTTTATGAGACTTGTCTAGGTTAAGGATGATACTGAATTAGAAACTGAATTTGGGACTGCATCGGCTTCCTCCCAGACTGACAAGTGACAGGATACTCTTTATGAGACTTGCCTAGGTTAAGGATGACACTGAATTAGAAACTGAATTTGGGACTGCAATTCCAAAAGGTCCCATTTAACAGAGGTTAAAAGAGAAATGGAGAGAAAGGTGCAGGTACTAGCACTTTCTCTCTGAGGCTCAGGTGGGCTGCTGGTAAGTCACTCACTTATCACGAAGCTGGGAGGAGTGAAAAGGAGAATTGAGACTAGAAGAGATAGGGCAGTTGTGCACCAGGAGAAAGGGAAATGAGGGCTTATGTGCAGCTGAGCAAGAGACCAGAATCTTAGGTGTCAGATGGGCACACTGGCTACCAGCAGGAGTCCAGAGAAGCAGACCCCAGGAGCTCTGATGGACAAGATGCGACAGCCAGAGGCCTAACTCACAGCTGTGCGATGCCCGCCTGGCGCACCGCTGACGAGATGGCTTTGATTGCGGTGCAGAGCGAATTCAGCAGCTGGGTCAATTCCCCCGTGCCCCGAGCCTTCCTGCCCTCCTCCATGACGAAGCGGGTCAAGGTGCTGATATCCGTTTCGAAGGGCGCACGGTCCGCCATTGCTGGGGTCTGGAGCAGGTTCTGGCTAAAGGTGCAGGCAGGAGGACCCCACAGGTGACAGTCACAGCGGGAGGACTGAAGGCCGTACAGTGTCTGCAGAAGCTTAATGAACTTGAGTCCTGGGGGAGCCTATAATCTCCAGGTCTCCGCCCCTGTCCCAGGAAACACCCCCTACCTCCCTTCCTCCACCAACTGCCGTTCTGCCCGCGGGCCAAGGTCCTCCTAGCCTCTCCCTCCCTCTGTTCCCTGCACCCTCCCCTTGATGCCACGCCGACCTCACTACTTCCTTCTCTGTTGCCCCACCGCCCACCTTGCCTCTGGGCTACCTGCATGATGGTCTCCTTAAATCCCCGCTATAACCTGCCAGAGAGGAAGGCATGATGGACTCACCCTCCCTCCCCCCCACACTTAAAATACAAAACAGATTCAGGGGGGTTGAGTAACTAGCTCAGCCCAAGATGACCTGGTGTCAGTCCCTAACCACTGCTCTTCCCCCCTGCACTCTCTACTGACCCACCTCCTGAGAAATGTGTCCTCTCATCCCCATCCACTCTGAATCCTTAATTGTTGCCTCCTCTAAGTTTCTAGATCTGGAGAGCTATTGGGAACCTTAGTTTCCAAGTGGGTTCTGCCGAGAAAACTATTACCTATGCAAAAACTATTCTCTGAGATCAGGCAGTTCCGCAGCCAGCGTCCTTACCTGTTTCTGTTCTAGCTGTGACAAGTAGGCTAATTTGTAGAACAATTACTGAGCGGGCACTGTGCACCAGAGCACCTGCATTCTTTGAGGCCAGAGTCTTGAGGAGGACAAACTCCTGCCCTCCTTGAGTGTAGAGTTTAACAGACAGATAACACAAAGAAACAAAAAGAAACCATGGACCAGTTTCCACACTGGCTTAGGAGAACATGAAAACAGAAAGATAGATAAAGAACGCTGAGGAGAGTAAAGTAGGGGGCGGGGCCAGGGAAAAGTTCACTGGGAAAGTAATATTTGAGCAAAAAGCTGGTTAGCCAGCCAGGCTAGTGCAATCAGCTAGCACCAAGCTTATCAGAGACCATCTCTCAAAATAAGGTAGACAATGCCCAAGGAACAGCGCCCAAGGTTGTTCTATGACCTCACCTGTGTACCTGACAGGCACACCAGGAAAGAAAAAAAGAGGGAAGAGAGAAGAGTAATATGACAGATCTCACAAACCATAGCAAGACACTTGTGGGTTCTATTCTATTCACAGTGCTTGAAGAACATCCAGAGGATTTTAAGGGAGAAAGCGGCAGCCTGCTTTATTCTGCGTGATGTAGGAACTGACTGTCAAGAGCTGAAGCTAGGAGAGCTAGCAGCATGCCTTCCGTCTAGCCTCTTTGTGTCCCCTGTCTCATGTACAACAATTGCTATCAAACTACTTGTCAATCTCAACTATTCTTCATATGGGGTGAGCTTGAAGCTTCCTGCCCTGCCCGGGGCCCACTTCCTCTTGGCACTCCCTTCCATGATCATCCTCTCTGGACACACTGCCCCTTGGCATACCCTCTACTACCACCTCCTTTTCCTCAAATTCCTCTTCTTCACCTACCTGCCCCACCCTATCCTCCAGTGACTCATTTTCTTAAGAAATTACCCTTTTATCCTCAAAGACAATATTGAACAGTCTGATGGACACATCAGAGTGGGGTGGAGGACGCTGAGCCATAATACAGTAGCAGTAATGAACTCATCCACAGAGATCCCTGAGGCTGAGATGACCATTCTAAACTGGCTTCACTGTGGGGTGGGGACGATGGGGGTCAAGATGCTGCTACACACCAGGTTCACATGTCATCCTCTCTAGGCTGCCCTGGGAGGGGACCTGACACAGGAGGGGTGACAGTCTCTACCTTCAAAGTATCAGCACTGTTTAACCCAGCAGACCCAGAAGCTATAGAAGAAGTTGTTGTTCTCCTTGAGGAACTGGGTGGTACCTGAAGCACCCATTGTTATCACCAACAGAGAGACCTGGTTGTCTGTTTCTTGTGGCTGTCCTGTGCTCTTCATATTCTGAGCTACTCTTTCCCCATGAAGTTACATGTACGGCCACAGGCATTGCCAGACGGCTCCAGCAACTCAGCTTCTCCCTGATCACAGCTGGGACCCTCTCCACATTTCAACCTGAACCCTATTTCTCCAACCTGTCCCAGGCTCCAGCTACTTTCCTCAAGGTTCCGCATGCACCTCTCTTACCCACTCTATGACTCTATGACTATGCTGTATCTCTTAAGCTTGGACAACTCTCCAAAGGTCCTGAACTGAGAATCATGAATACTTCCTACTCTTTTTAGTTTATTTATTGTGTGTACATGTATGTAAATACGTGTGCCATGACATTCGTGTGGAGGTCAGAAGACAACTTTGGGAGTCAGTCCTCTCTCTCCTAACACCTTGAAGTACCCGGGGGAACAACTCAAGTTGGCTTGATGGTAGGCATCTTTGCACACTGAGCCATCTTGTTAAACCATGAGCACTTCACTAAAGGGCTAAAGGCTTGCCCGTGGCCTTCTTCCACATAATGGTTCTGAGAGCCTGACTTAGAAGGCAAGGGAACAATTTACAAAGGGGAGCAGAGACATGTCATTTGTGAGGCTCATACATATAGCTGTATAGCCTTTTATCTCAGACTTTGTAACAATGTAAGTTTGCCCATAACACAGTGGAAGAATCTAAAGTTTAAACGGGTGACCTTGTAAGGGATGAAACAGAGCCAACCTGGGCCTCCACAACTATTGATGGTTGCTGTGGGTGTAAGTCTTGTTTGTATAATAATATACATATTTTCATGCTCCTCCATCGAGGAATGTTCTCTCTGCCAAGATTAATGACTCCATGATAATCAGCAACAGCATGTGTCTAAGAAGCGAGGGCGCATCTATGTCTCAGCAAAATGGCAGAATGCTGTGACCTCCAGGACAGCCCTTAGGACTGTGGGAAAGAATGCTGAAAACATGAGTTTGAAAATATATAATTTCTCAACTATGCAGAATATAAGGATGCAATATGAACTGTAGAAGCAGCTTTACAGATCTAAAGGAGCAGAGGCAGCTGCACTATGAGCCAGCTTTTCAGAAAAGTACTAAGGAAGCAGATAAAGAGATTTAGGGAGTGGTGATCACGGCACAGGATCCCACCCAGCTAAGTTTTTTGTTTGTGCTTACAAAGACAGGTAGATTGCTGAGTTCAGGGTCAGTCTGAGACAGAGCAAATTTAGGTCCAGGCATAGTCAGAATGGTAATCTCAGAACAGGATCCCACCCAGCTAAATTTACAAAGTCAGGTAGATCTCTGAATTCTTTTGCAATGTTTAAAAAAATAAAATGTACTTGCTGTCCATTTCCTAAAAGTCAAGGGGCTAAGGTCATGGAATGCTGATTCATGGGTTTGTCAAGAGGGAACCTGAAATAACTGAATTGATATGTAAATAAAAGAGTGGGCTTTTGGTCTGCATGAGATGGGCTAGCAGAGAGGGATAGTAGTTCTCCAAGGCTGGTCCCTCTCATCCTTCCTTGGGTCAGGAGTGCACAGCTAAGTGACAGAGTACTTATCTAGCATGCATGTATTCATGCAGTCCTAGGTTCAATCCCTAGCATTCTAAATAAACACATGAATAAATAATAGATTTCCTCTTCTGTTTATCATCAGACAGTGGAAGAGTTGGAACTTGACCCCAGAACTTGCCTTTGCTTTCTGTCAGTAATATATTGCATCTTTATCATCAGTGTCCAGAGGAAGAACATGCAGACACAGCCCTGACTCTCCTACAAACTAGACCACCTTAAGAATACCAGCTCATTTCTTTGGGCCAAGTACTGTCATCTGTAAAATAAAGAGGAATTATGTAACCATTGTTCAAATTTCTTGAATGTTTATTGCATGTCTGGCTAAGTTTTTATTTTTTTTTCAGATGAATTCTCTCATTCTGTCCCACCCTATACCCATGATTAGGTGAAATCAGAATTTATTCCCCTTTCACAAATGGGGAACCTGTGGTTTAGAGGAATTCAGCAGCTTTCTTTGGGTCACACAGCTGAGACGGGTGGACACCGACACTCAGACATGCTGACTGTAATGCACATGCTTAGCCTGTCTGGCCTCCAGGATCTCAGAGTTCAGGCTTCTCTGCCTTGGCCTTCCCCAGTGTCAAGATAAACCCTGGCAAGTCTCAGGAGGCATAACTCTCCACTCTTGGGGGCTACTGCTGCCTCAGTCCCTGGATGTTTTCAGGATTTTTCTGCCTTCTTCTTTAGGTCTAAGTCCCAAGGAAAGGAGAGCCTGCTGGGTGTTCTGCAGTTCATCTCAGCTGGTTCGCAGACCAGGATACAATTCACTCACATGGATCTCACTGAAGGCTCTTGTGACCAGAAAACAATGGGACTTTTTTTTTATAGTGCATATTAATTGCACAGCATAATGGGTTTCATTGTGGCATTTTTATACATGCAGACACCTTTGATCACATTCACCCCATTGTCTCCCCTAATCCCCCACTTCTCTCCCATCCCCCTTCCTCTTCCCGAGTAGACAATGGGACTTTTTTAAACCGGAGTTACAGACATGTAAGTCTTTTTCTGTTCTGCCTAAATTCCACGTTGTTGTTTCCAATTAACTTAACTACCGTGAAACTATTTTTTTCCTAATTCTTTAAAGAAAGAGAAACAAACACAACAACCAAAGGAAGAAGCCTGGGCATTCTCTACCCAGGAGTAATTTTAGGAGCCTCTTCATGTTGAAACTCAGCCTTGTTATTATCATTTTTCTGTGTATTTGTGTATGGCTCTGTGGGATTGAGTCTTTGGTAGGTATCCTGGTTTGCTTCCCTGTTACTGTTTAAAACACTGACCAAAAGCAACTTGGAGAGGAGAGGGTTTATTTCATCTGACAGGTGAACTGATGAGACCCATGTTTACTGAGAGATCCTGTCTCAAAATTAAGCTGGGGAGTAATGAAAGCACCAGATGTTGACCCTGAACATCTGCACACCCCTCAGTCAAACACACACACACACACACACACACACACACACAGAGAGAGAGAGAGAGAGAGAGAGAGAGAGAGAGAGAGAGAGAGGG